TCTCTGAAGTTAGCAGTGGAGGGTGAGATCCTAGCTGCTAGATTGGAACCAATGTTAGAAAAATACTCACTAAAACTGATAGCAATAGAAGTGGGATCTGAGATAAGCTCACCATTACTTTTAAAAAAAAGGAGGGGCAGGTTAGTTTAGACTTGCGTTTATTAAGTACTTCATTAAGGATTTTCCATCTAGTTTTTATGTCATCATAGAAGTTTCTTTTCGCAATCCTTATTAGGTGATTTATATAGCTTATTTTCAAAAGATATTAAGAAATTTTTGTAAAGTTTAGCTTTATTTGTCCCATGGATTTTAAAATGCCTTTAGTGAGCCAAGGGTTACGACATGATTTTTGAGCACAACACTTGAGTTGAATGGTTTTGGTAAGAATGTTTTTGTTCTATACTTCACTGAATTTGTTAACAAAAGATTCATAGGCTGAATTGGCATCTGATCTTGTTTTACAAATCTAATTCAACTGTTGATCGAAGAGCGTATTAGAGAGCTATCCAAAATGTTTTTGTTGTTTAGTTCAAGTTTTTTATCACGGATTCAACGAAAAAAAAATGTTGAGAGACAGACATTTCTGGGCTTTGTTTTGCTAATATGACTTAGCTTGTACTTTGTTGCTGGAAAAACTATATTTAGATGCTAAATCTCCGCGTGTTTACACTGTTTATGACAGAAAAATAAGCTTACGCTTGGTTCAACATAATCTCGTGTCACTCGGTACAAAAGGAAATTATATAGAAAGTAAAGAAATATTCTTAGCCATTGACTTGGTGTGTAAATTGTCTCGTATCTAGTGGATGGAATATTCAATGCCTTCATGAAATTTCAAGGACTTCAACTTGAACGCCAGCCTAAAGATCTGTGCCGATTATAAAATGGAATCATGGTTTTGGATTCTTGGCTGGATTCTGTCAATTCTGACGATAGCTGGAAATGGTTTCAACTTGCGTCTTGTGATTAGTCAGCGTCGGCCTCGCAACAAAACCAACGCGCTCATCGTTTCACTTGCGGTGGCGGATTTCTGTGCTGGGGCTTTCGTTGTTCCTTCACTTTTCTTCTGTAGAGGTGGTAGCAACTGGCCTCGACCCTATGCTTCCTGGGCGGATTTTATAAGGTGGCTCTTTCGGTACGCCTCTATTATAAACCCGTGCAGCCTGGTAGTAGATCGGTATATGGCTGTCGTAAAGCCACTGAAATATGACAACTTCATGCCTGCACGACGTATAACCCACCTAGCTTCAATTTCTTGGTTTATCCCTCTTCGTCTTGCAATTTGTTCTGTTTTCATCTTCGATACGTAACATAGTCTGCCGTATGTTGTGCGATCCTCGAGATTTTCTTCAGCTGCATGTTAATTTTCTCTTTTATTTCCATTGTAACGGTTGTATAAAAGCCATGTTAGTGGCCAAGAATAAAAGTATTTCTCTCTTCTGGGAACTAAATTCTATTTTTATGTAAATTCAACCAGAAAAAACAAAAATAGTGCGACAGTTTTTAACCTAGGTTGATTCTCAATGTCCTTTGTCTCCTGGCCCTAATTCATGAATAATTAGGGCGAAGAGACAAAGAAATTGAGAATCAACCTAGGTTAAAAGATTTCAACCTGAATTTAATTTTGACCTCTAACAAGTATACTCCAAATAAACTTAGTGAAAGTGTAAGAGACATAATCTTATAATTATGTCTGGAAAAGCGAACAAGTCAAAAGTTAGCGTGCGTGTTAATTGACATATTTAGTAAATATTAAATTTCAGTTTAATTTCATTCATACCTTGTTTCATTTACCTATTTTGAAATATATGTATTCTCTGTCTTGTTAATTTAATATGTTGATGTTCGTGTGTCTGTTTCAACCCTATTATTGTAGCTTTTTTACTTTTCCTTCCCGCCTCGATTAGCTATAGGCTGCTTTTCGGGCAAGGATTAATTTTGGCATGTATGCAAAGTGTTTTTAATAAAATCAAACTTGAACTTGAAACTTGAACTTGTTCTTCAAATTTGTAATGAATGTTTTATTTCAAGAACCAGTGAGCTTCTGGTAGCTTGCGTTGCAGCCAGCCCACGTATCGTCTAGACCATTGATATAAGAGGGTCCCCAATAGGTTTCTCAGGATCCGGGATTTCCCTTATTTGAGGCTCGGGATTCGGGATTATAAAGCAAAATCGGGCTGAGATTCGGGATTGAAAGTAAACCCGTGAGTTGCCCGTGAGGTGGGATGCCAAATGAATAAAAATGGGATTACGGGATTGCACGAAATTTTTTTGACCAGGATTAGGGGACTGAAGGACCCTATTAGGAGTCCTGATATAATATACCGGCGGTTAAGAGTGTCTGCGTCTCAAGCTAGCTTCTGGTTGGCACATTAATGTTAAAAGGTGACGTAGACCGGGAATATCACTTTTCACTCCAAGTGCTGTGATATGTGCAGTTCTATCCAAAGAAATTGTAAATTATTGGCATTATTGTGATAAATTCCTGTTCGTCGTTATTACTTTAATCATTTTTTCTCGGTCTCCGGTTGATAACGTTTTAAAGACTCCTCTTTAGTGTAAAATTCACCTGTCTCTAATGTTTTTTAATTTGTTTTTTGTTTTTATTTTATTTTTTTTCAAGTATAGAGCGTTAGCTTCCACTTCACCAAAGAGGTGGATAGTGCTTTTGATTGGCTGATTACAAGAGAGAATATAAATCATCCTTAAATGGCTGTAAATAACTCATATTGGAGGCTTCCAGGGCCCTGAAACCAACCATCAACGAGACAATAGCAATGAAAAACGAATATATTGTAAATTTTCATTTAAGATTATTACTTTGATTGCTTGAACAATATTTGGGGTCAAGAAGTAGCAAGAAACGAAATAGGAAACTGAATACAATACCACAGGTAGCTAAAGTTTACATCTGTACTGTCAAATGCCAAAGGAAAAAGCATATTGAAAATACATTTGAAAATCAAAGGCCAAGCACAAGTCCCTTCTTCTTAATAAGAATGCATCTCCATTGAACCCAGTAAGCTTGTTTTCTTTTCAAGGCGGGTAATTTTCCATTGGGATACATGCTGTTTTTGTGATTGACATGCAAAGCTTAACATAATGGAGATTACAATTCAATTAGAAGATGATGGAGAAGGATAAAAAACTACCGTAAAATTCCGAAAATAAGCACCTCCATGTATAAGCCCCTCCAAATATAAACCCCCCAATCCGCTGACACAAAAAAAACCTCCGTTAAATCGCCCCTCCAAATATAAGCCCTTCGGGGGCTTCTACTTGGAAAATTGCCCTCAAATACAAAGTAAAACAAAGCAAAAACGGCAAATTGACTTCCAACTATAAGGCTAGCCCAATCGATTTTGAAACGCCAATTTCCCGCTGTAGATAAGCCCCCCCCCGAATATAAGCCCCTCCAAAAATAAGCCCCTCAAAAAGGGCCTTTGAAAAATATAAGTCCCGGGGCTTATTTTCGGAATTTTACGGTATTCTGATGGATCCCACAGCTATTGATGAGCCTCTCAATGGTCAATTCTGACGAAATCGAAGTTGCGATGATGGCTTTTTGATGAAGAGACAACCGCATTGCTATCCGTTCAATTTTAATGTGACAACAATCATTGTGCGCCCCATATAAGGGAATCCAACAATTAAGACGCTCTCGGATTCTGGATTCCACGTCGTAGATTCCGAATTTCAGGTCCAGGATTCCTGACTTTTGTGATTAAGACTTAAATTTCGGATTCCCATCATTTGCGGCAATCCGGATTCCTTAAGTTGTATTCCGGATTTCAAAACCCAGGATTTCGGATTCCAAGCAAAATTTCCTGGATTTCGGAATCCGGATTCCCTAAATGGGAAGAGTGCAATGATGGCGAAGAAATCTGCCAAAAATCATGCTGCACGTTCAGAGATTTTGCTTTGCTTAATAAACCTGTTGTCTTTTTTTTATTTTCTCGTTTCCTTCGTCGTCGTCGTAGTTGTGCTCGAACTCTCTAATAACGTTACCACGCAGAACAATTCTTGATATATGCGACGATTTCCTCAAAAAAACCGACGATTTGATGGAAAACGCGCGACGAAATCCACCTGGCTCACTGATGCTAAGAATTCTACAAGGTCAAAAGATTCTTTACTTTTGCACTTTAGTATATGCATGCATGAGAAATACCAACCAAATATATTCATGTGGCTCGAAAATTTCCTTCCAAATACAGAACTTAGAATGTTTACTTTTAGTGTATT